GGTGAATTTTCGGGTCAAAAGTATTAAACATAGTTGAAACACTTAACACTTATTTCCCAAAAATACCCTATTAATTGATCAAAGAAAGATCGATTAAACTTCCCTGTTTTCTCCTTTTAGAATCAAGAACTAGCAAAAAAAAGGTGAAAAAGTAAAACTTAAATTTCCTTGTTTGTGAAAATACTAACTCAGATATACTTTTTTCAAAAATTGTAAATGACTGCTTTTCAGTTTACACTGTTTTGATGCTTTTGTTAAAAAATTTATTTTCATAGAAAATTTGTTTTTCCACAAAATTTCTCAATTAAGCGATAAAATTTGTTTTCGCTTAGCGCTTGACTCCCTATTCTTATAAATGAAAAAAATCATTAGATGGTGCAGGCCGAGGGGGAAAACTTGAAAAATAACTTTTGTTTAACCCGACTAAGCAAAAAATGTGCAAAAACATAAATAATACATTTTTGAAAAGACCGTACTTCGGCGAATTCAAATATGCAAAAATATTTATCAAATTTTCAACAAGTTATTTCAAAGAGCTATAAAAAGTCGAAGTCCAGTAGGTTTAAAAGCCCCGCTTTGAGCCGCCCTTAAGTGAGAGGCATGTGTTATGAGAAATGTCAAAAAATACTTTAATTTATCTCAAAAAAAGGTCAGGGGGGTGCCCAGTCGAAATATGGTTATTTGGATTAAAATAATATTTATAATGTAACACCCATGAAACTTTTTTTAATTATAATAAGTTTCTTCTATTTAAGATATTATAACGTGTTGGCGTACGACCAGACCCGTGTCAAGATCCAACTGGACAGACGAGATATTTACATAAACGCAAACCATGTTAGGATTCCAGATTCAGGCAGAGAATATATTCTTACTCAAGGTTAGATAATCATTTAATATCCTAGTTTACAGTCGGGATGCAAGTATTTAGGGAGTGAAATGTCTACTAAGACATGTTTTTAAAATGTATTTTTCACAAATATTAAAAATGGCTGTCTCGAATGAATGATAAAAAAGTCGCCTACAAGTTTAAATAATAATTCTGAAAATCTGATTAAATAAGGTATTATTAGGTATTATATATGGAATCAGGTTGAAATTCTTAATTCAAATCAGTTTACAGAATTGAAAAATATTGAAATTTAGAAGTTAGGTCAAAATACACTTTTTTGAGTTCTTAATGAAATTTATTTAGAAAAAATTAATTTTTTACCATCTCCAACTTTGAATATTTTTCAATTCTGTACATTGTTTTGAATTCTAGTTTTCAATCCGGTTCAATGGATACCCATATTATTGAGATTTTCTAATTTTTCATTTTCACTCATAATACTGATTTTTATCATGAAACCGTATTTGGGAGTCACATTTTTGAGCTTTATAAAAAATGTATTTTAAAAACATGACTTAGAATTTCAAGTGGAAACTATTTTGTTTCTGTAAAATGGATTCATAAAAATGTCTCACCCCATGTATGAAGGTAAATGCAGTTAAACCCTTAAATAAGTCATACATCGAAAGAATTCATCAAATGTTGTATTCTTCATTTTCTGATAATGGAATGTTACAGATATTTAGTTTTTTTATTAAATGATTATATGGAGCTCTTTAAAACTGTTCCCGCATATTCATGGTTATTCATTAATTTTCGCAAATACTGAGATTTACGTAAAATAGTATAAAACCCCATTGAAAAATTGTCAGGACGACATTTGATAAATTCTTTCGATGTCTTGCTCATCTAGGGTTAAACTGTATGTATGGGTGGGTGTATGTATGTATGTATGTATGTATGTATGTATATATGTATGTATGTATATATGTATGTATGTATGTATGTATGTATGTATGTATGTATGTATGTATGTATGTATGTATGTATGTATGTATATATGCCCAATAGCACCTTTCAAAAAGAGGTTTTCGAATGTACGCCCCTTTTTTCCCTTGTTACAACCTTGTGAAAAAAATATTTCCAATGAAATAATATGTGTTTGTATTTTAGCTTACTTAGAATTTAAACAAACAAAATTAAGATTGAAATATTCGCGATAAGTTCTACTTACTTTGCATTAACGTTCTTTGAAAACTGAAAATGTTTCATTAGATGCTTAGGAAATGTTTAGATTTGTTAAAGGGTCTTTAGACTTAGTTTAAAGTGACTCTCTCCCTACAAAGAACTGTTGTGAACCCTCTTTATATGATAGGTTACTTGTAATTACATCGACAGACTGTGTTAAAAATGGTTTCGTTTAAAATTTAGCCAAAGGGGGGTTTTCCTGATTTATTGATTGATTGATTGTGTTGTCTAGGCCCCTGGAGCAAACAGTTGATTGATTGATTATGTTGTCTAGGTCACATGGAGCAAACAGTTGGTTGCTTGATTGATTGATTGTGTTGTCTAGGCCCCCTGGAGCAAACAGTTGATATTGATTGATTGATTGTGATGTCTAGGTCCCCTTGAGCAAACAGTTGATTGATTGATTGTAATGTCTAGGTCCCCTTGAGCAAACAGTTGATTGATTGATTGATTGTGTTGTCTAGGTCCCCTCGAGCAAACAGTTGATTTTTAAAATTTAGCCAAAGGGGGGTTTTCCTGATTTATTGATTGATTGATTGTGTGTCTAGGCCCCTGGAGCAAACAGTTGATTGATTGATTATGTTGTCTAGGTCACATGGAGCAAACAGTTGCTAGATTGATTGATTGATTGTGTTGTCTAGGCCCCCTGGAGCAAACAGTTGATATTGATTGATTGATTGTGATGTCCAGGTCCCGTTGAGCAAACAGTTGATTGATTGATTGTGATGTCTAGGTCCCCTTGAGCAAACAGTTGATTGATTGATTGATTGTGTTGTCTAGGTCCCCTCGAGCAAACAGTTGATATTGATTGATTGTGTTGTCTAGGTTCCCTCGAGCAAACAGTTGATTTATTGATTGATTTATTGTGTTGTCTAGGTCCCCTCGAGCAAACAGTTGATATTGATTGATTGTGTTGTCTAGGTCCCCTGGAGCAAACGGTTGAAAGTTGTTGATTGATTGATTGATTGATTGTGTTGTCTAGGTCCCCTGGAGCAAACGGTTGAAATTTATTGATTGATTGATTGATTGTGTTGTTTAGGTCCCCTCGAGCAAACAGTTGATATTGATTGATATTGTTGTCTAGGTCCCCTGGAGCAAACGGTTGATCATTTCTGGTTGATGTGCCATCAGCATAAAACGACCTGTATCGTTATGCTCTGTCGATGTTATGAAAATTCAAGGTATTTTAAAGTTTTCAGAATGGATCTTTTCTTGAATTGATTCCAACAAGAGCAGAACATGTTTCAAAAAAATAAATAAAATTATGAAAACATCATATTTATTATTTATAAAATAGAAACTAGTGTTTACTAAATTTAATTTATTCATTCTTTTTTACATTTGTATGTAACTTAAATACGTTCCCACAAAGTGAGATGAAATCTGCACATAGAATTGGGTGGCCCCTTTCCCCTTCGTAAATCCTTTAAAAACGACCATATTTTAACTAAAGATTTAGAGCTTTCGCGTTAAAAGGGGGGGGGGGGTTGATATGTATTAGAAAACCGCTTATCTTTAATTACAAACATTTATTTTCTAAAACATTGAAATAAGAATCTGTAGTTGGCGGTTTGGCAATAACGTCGGAGCTTTGAAACATTTAAAATTACAAAGGCCTTGCAATTATTTTAATAATCTTATTAAAGTTCAATTATAAAGAATAATGCTAAATTCCTTCATGTCAGAGAGAAATCGTAAGACCACATTTCAACCTTAATTTAGTATTAGTCATCTTTTTGCCGCGTGGGTGTAAACGTCTCTAACAGTCAGATTTGATTTAATTAAATTTGATTCTAAAACTATTTATTTTTAGAGAGAAGTCGGCTAAGTATTGGCCAACCGAGGTAGGAGAAACTTTCAGGTAAACATTTGTTTTATAAATTTTTATTCAGCATTTTATATTAGTATTTATTAGTATTTATTAGTATTTATTAGTATTNTGTTGATAAAGCATCCATTACTTGCAAATAGTGAATAGTCATTAGTTTCTCTTAAATATTGAACCGCATTCTAGGCACTGTTGATAAACCATCCATTTTGACTAGAGTGCCCCATTTTGCAACAAAATATAGAAATATTGTCTCACAAATAACTCTCAACCTAATATTGTTCTCTATGGTGTCAGTTTACACAGGATATAATTTTTTTAAACCTATGGGAAGTGGTCGTGCAGATCGCAAAAAAAGTTTACGTATCTTAAAAACAAATATTTCTTGAATTTATCATGTCATATATCATTTTCTTCGTAATTGTTTAAAAACGTTAAATTCATTGCTTTTTTTTTAATTTAAAAAATTAACTGCGTTAGGTTAAAAAAACTTCTAAAAATGTACTTTTCTTTTAAACTAGCATTTTTGACGCGTTTTTTTTTGGTCTAACTCAGTCAATTTTTGAAATTTTAAAAAAAAATTCAACGGATTTAATTTTATTAGACAATTACGAAGAAAATGATATATAGCAAAAATATGACAATGAAATATTTTTTTGAGCTATGTAGTCTTTTTTTTTGCGATCTGCACGCTCTTGCATGACCACTTCCCAATGGTCTAAAAAAAATTCCTGGTTCATACAGACAATTGACATCATAGAGAACTATATTAGCCTGAGAGTTATTTGTGGAAAGTCGGACTATAAAGTAATCATTGTGCTATACAAATAAATAAAAATGTACATTATAGCACGTGTGCAATAAAGTTTTGATTGGTTCCCAGTTTTTCTCCAAAAAAATAGGACATTTCCAAAATATTTTTTCCAATATAAATTAAAATTAACTAAATATTTTTATTTCTGCTTTCTTAAAAAGCTTATTTAATCTAGAAATAGCCATTGCAATAAGAAAAGTACACTAACGTTTCATAAAATTATTTATAACACTATTATTTTGGCACGACATGCTATAAAGTTTTTGGACTTGATTTTCTCGGTATCTCAAAAGTTCTCCCCTTTTAAAATTATCTTTTGTCCCTCGCGTCCAAAACTGTACAACACCGGGAATCAAAATAATAGTGTTATAAATAGTTGATAGCACATGTGCAGCTGGTTTTGTTACCTTGTATTGAAATGTGCCAGGGATATAACGCAGCTGCAGTACATAAATTGGCCGGACTTTAATGTGCCAGAGAGTCCAGACACATTTCTAGATTTTCTACAGATAGTTAGAAATACAGGTAAATTTTCTACAGATAGTTAGAAATACAGGTACATTATCCACAGATAGTTAGAAATACAGGTAAATTTTCTACAGATAGTTAGAAATACAGGTAAATTTTCTACAGATAGTTAAAAATACAGGTAAATTTTCTACAGATAGTTAGAAATACAAGTACATTTTCTACAGATAGTTAGAAATACAGGTAAATTTTCTACATATAGTTAGAAATATCATTTTCTACAAATAGTTTGAAAAAAAAAAAATTCTGCAAAAGTTAAATATTTTTTTAGGGTTTTATTCGCTGAATTGGGTAAAATTTATGATTTAGGGAAAATAAAGGAAGTTAGTCTGTAAACTGATAAATGATGGCCTAACGAGAAACAAAAAAATAATATTTCTTTTTGTTTTTAGAATGTTTTGATGAAGAGTCCGGACCTCCTGTTAGTAAGTACAATTATTATCTAGATTCTTCTACCATAACTAAATAAACATTTTTCTAAATTTATTCATATATGTATTTTTAATGTATATACGTATACACAATTCAATGTACTAAACGAAGTGGGTAATTGAAACATGAATGTTTTGCTATAAGCAAAGAAAAACTAATTTTTTATCAAAAATAGCAAAAGCAGAGCCCAATATGGGTGTTTCTCACGCATCCAAATTGGAAAATTGCCATGTTTTTTTTGGGACACCCTGTAGTATATAAATACATCATATTCATATTATTTGAAAGTTTTCAAATGAGAAATGTTGTTAAGAAAATTAAGAAAATTAAGAAAATTTGGAAAAACTAAAAAAGACATTTCTTCTTGAAGCCAGATAATTATGTGACTTCTCTGAATTATGTTTATTTAGTTATAAAACACACTTTATCTTTTATTTTTTTCAAATATTTTTTATTATGAATCAATTAGGTTTTTCGTATATAATATAATTAGTAAAATCATCTTTCAGTAGGGTATTAACACTGTTAAATACCTTAAAGGGCCTGTAAAGTTATTTAGGATTTATTTGAGACATATAAAACGTTTCCACGATTTATAATTACTGAGTTTGAGCGCAAAGTTGACGTACAAAATCATGAATTTGGGTGGGTACGTTTTCAGAAACGTTTTATTTTTAATATTTTATAACGACGACGAATAATACTAATTAGATGTTTAGGAACATATTTCTCAAAAGAAATTTGCCAATAAATCGAAGTAAGAATTAATTATTTCCTTTTTCATCATTATATTAGATTTCGTATTTTCTATACATTTGTTAGCAGATTTCTTCAAATTCTTCAAATGTCGTCTTTTTAATGAAAATTCCAGAAAATCTGCAGAAAATCTTTGTGATTTAAGTGAGATTATAGAAACTATTAATTGAATAAGATTGCTTAACTTTGATGATAATTTTTATTTTCTCAACCTAAACAACTAATTAGTTTACGGTAGAATTTGTTTAAATTTGTTGTCTTCGTTATTTAACGTATCCACCAAATATTATGATTTTGAACGTCGACTTCGCGCTCAAACTCAGGATTTACAGATCTTTAAAAAGTTTTATGTCTCAAATGAACCCTATAAAATTTGTCCACAACACTGCGTACTCAGTTCAACTACCTTACATAGCCGGTCTGTCCCTTTAATGGTTGTTTTCCTTGTTAAGTTCATTGTTCTGCTGGGATTGGTAGATCTGGAACTTTCTGTTTAGTGGATTCTAGTTTAGGTTAATGGAACCATATTTATACATTATTAAAATAGTCNTATATCCCCCCCCCCTTCATAACATTTGTAAAAACTATTCTTTTAAATCTTAAACTATTTTTCGGGATCAACATTAAAAAAATTATTTTCTACAAAATATTTAAGTAAAAAATGTTTCCTTGGTTTACTTCCTACACTTGTGTCTTATGACTTTTGTATTTTCATGAGTTTTTTTTCCTTTTATCCTTCTTCAATCTTGTAAAATCATTATTTTCCATCTTTAAAAAATCAAGTTGTTTCTTCGTAAAATAGGAATGTTTGAGCAAAATTTTAGGGTTTTTTGGTTGAATTAACTTGCAAGTAACTAAAGAATTTTTGGGTTTTATAGTTCATGTCTAATTTTATCATCCCCCNTTTGGCACGAGAGATTTTGTCTTCAATAGGTTTCCTCTTATTTAAGTTTTGGCAGCTAAAGGGAAACACTTGAATATTCAAATCATTAGGAATTTTAATCATTGATAAATATATTTTAAAATTTTTAATTGTAAACAAGGTAAGAAATGATATTGTATTGGAGACATTTTTTCTTTCTTCCTTTCTTGCTTTCTATTGTATTAAAAAAGGGATTGTTATGAAATTTAAAGTGACCCTTTCATTAGTTTGTCAAGTGTCATGCATGATTTAAATCAATAAACGATATTTTTTATACAGGGTTTCCCACGAAACATGACACTTGATGGACGACTTTAAAGTTGTTTTTGAAATAATTTGAGGCATTTATCGTAAATTTCAGTAGTAAAATTCTTAAATCAATGATCACAAAATAGTCTGCATTTCTAAAATGTTTTTTTTTGTCTGCCTCTTTGAAATTGCTTTCAAAGTTACTTGAAACATATGAATAGTTTTGGTTTTATTTAATTAATTGAAATCTTAATGCTAGAAATTATTTCACAGATATCAAAGACGACCTTCAAGTTTTCTCTCGTATTTCGTAGAACGCCTTTATGTCACTGAGGTGCAATCAACAAGTAATTTAATTTGAAAGATAATGTAAAATATTTGATTCCACTTTTTATGTGGAGAGTCACTTTAAATTATGGTAACGGTCCCTTTTAGTTAAAAAAGTTGATAACATGTAAATTAAATATTGTATTTTAAAAGCCAGTTGCAATTTTATTAAATGCTAATTATCTGGTCTAAACAGGCTCCTTTGCCTTAAGGCTCACATTACAGTATTCAGGGGTCGAGTGACTTATCGGTTTAAACTTATTTCAAAATTAATTAATTAATTAATTAATGATTTTAAGAATATAGGTAATGTATATGAATGTTGACAAGTTTTATGAAAGCTTCTTAGCTATTCTTTTAGAAATTATAAACTTGAGAAAATCATATGTTTTTGCGAAATCCCCTTTAAGAAAAGGTTTTCCTTAACAGTTCAAAAAAATATAATCAGTTCTGAATCTTTGAATGGTATGGTCATGAATGACCATACCATTTAAAATATGAAAATTAAAACGCAAAAATATAAGTCTGGTTTAGGTTGGGTTTCCAGCGAAAAGGTTAAACTTGAGAAAATCATATGTTTTTGCGAAATCCCCTTTAAGAAAAGGTTTTCCTTAACAGTTCAAAAAAATATAATCAGTTCTGAATCTTTGAATGCTTATGAGTCATGAATGACCATACCATTTAAAATATGAAAATTAAAACGCAAAAATACAAGTCTGGTTTAGGTTGGGTTTCCAGCGAAAAGGCAAATCGCTTTGCGAAAATTTTGCATTTGTCTCGAAAATTTTGTATTTCGTTCGCTCGCGAAAATGTTTACCTTTTTTTCTCTAAATTTTACATTATTCTGTTTCGCGAAAATTTTGTGGAAAAATGCGAAAATTTCAGGGGGGGGGATGCGAAAATTTTGCGAAAAAATATGGAAGAGAAATTTTTATATTGATATAATAAATTTTCCAATGCTGAGCTCTCAGAGCAGAGAATTCCACAAGTTTTTTTTGCGAAATTAATTGTTGCAGCTAAAGTTCTCGCAGAATTATATCTCGCGAAATATCTCATCTGTATCGTGGTCACATTTGTTTGCTTAAATCATTTTCGGAACTTTCACGAAAAAGTTTGCGAAATACAAACGAATATTTTTGCGAAAGTTTTTGTTCGCTGGAAACCCTAGTTTTGGGCTTTATGCTAAGGGGAAGCAGTTCTTATGAAAAGCTCATAAGTTAAACAGTCACCAAAGACGAATATTTTTGGGTTTAGCCAAAAAAACCATGGGGATGGATTGGGGGCGGGGGAGGTTGATATTACAAATTAAAGATCTACTTTGTCGAATATGTTAAAAGTTAGTTTAATTTTTTTGAATGATATTAATTATGTATTTTTTGAATATGATAAAAACATCAGTATTGTTAAATGATTGATAGGGATATATTTTGTTGAATATGATAAAAATTAAAGATTTGTATTGTTAAATGATTAAAAATTAAAGATCTATATTGTTGAACATGAGAACTCAAAGAATGGGATTGATACAGACAGAGGACCAACTGAGGCAAGATATCAAAAATATATTTATTTAACTCTTACTTTAAAAATTTGGTTATTTGAATTTTATTTTAAATTTATTATTAAAAGTAATTTTCTTGTAAATCAAACAAAAAAATTTGGAAGATTGACAAATTTATCCGGATATTTTCTTGCTAAAATGTTTTCTGAAGTTATTGGTGCATTTTCTGTTATATGTGAACACTGATGTTTTTTCTTTATACTTGATAACTACATCACGGAAAACAAAACATACAAATGCCTGAAAAATATCCTTTCTTACCATTAATGGGTCAGGTTTTGGATCTTCTATACAGTGAAACCCTTAATAAAGAATACATCGAAAGAATTCATCAAATGTCGTATTCTTCACTTTCTGATAATAGAATGTTGCAGATATTTAGTTTTTTAATAAAATGATTATATATTTTTCCTGACACTCTTGAAACAACTATGCGCCAAAAAAATTCACCTCCAAAGGCTTAAATGTCCGCGCGCGCGCGCAATAAAAGAAAATATCTTTGAATACTTATGTGCTAAGTTTGGCCAAAGTTTGCATGAGATACATCAAAATATAGCAAAATTGGGACAAGGAATTCATTTCCGAGGTCAAAATAGACATTGGAGCATTCTGACCGGCTCGCTAGTAGCCAACCATTACATTAAGGGTCATCTTAGTACATTTTTTACATGTTGTATGTCGATTTACAGGTAATTTGGCACGAAGAATTTATTTCTGATGTCAAAATAATTATTTGAGCATTCTGACCGGCGCGCTAGTAGCCGGCAGTTACATTATGGGTCATCTTCCTACATATTTACATGTTGTATGTCGAATTATAGGTTATTGGGCACGAGAAATTCATTTCTGAGGTCAAATTTAATTTTTGAGCATTCTGACCGGCGCTCTAGTAGCCAACCATTACATTATGGGTCATCTTAGAACATTTTTTACATGTTGTTATGTCGATTTACAGGTAATTTGGCATGAGGAATTCATTTCTGATGTCAAAATAAATATTCGAGCATTCTGACCGGCGCGCTAGTAGCCGGCATTTACATTATGGGTCATCTTCCCACATATTTACATGTTGTATGTCGATTTACAGGTAATTTGGCACGAGAGATTCATTTCCGAGGTCAAATTTAATATTCGAGCATTCTGGCCGGCGCGCTAGTAACCAGCAGTTCCATTCTGGATCATCTTCCCCACATATTTTACATGTTGTATGTCGATTTATAGGTAATGGTGCACAAGGATCCATTTCTTAGTAAAAACTTTTGTAAGACTACTCTGATCGATGTGCGTGCTTTCTTAGGTAAAAAAAAATAAGTTTCAGGACTCTGATCGGCGCGCTGCTGGCTTAGGGTAATTATGGGTTCAACCTATCATAGTTTTTCATGTTGTGTGTAATTTTATAGGTATTTAGATCAGAGCAATCCATTCCTGTGCACAAAACTAATGAACAATGGTAAGAAGAAGAATGATATTAGAATTGAATCATTTTTCTTTGATAGGTTGAACCCATAATGCAACTGTTATTCTAACTTTGGCCAATCCCCCCCCCTTTATAAAATTTAGCATAAACTGGTTTTAAAAGATGGATTTGTGCAGGTTTTCTGTATCTGCTATAATTGTTGGATGCTCCCGGATGACCGCTAGTGAAGTTGTTGTTAACGGATCCGGATCTAAGACGGACTCTGAGTCAGCTGACCGACCTGCGGGTAAACGGTTATCTGTCTCTTCGCATTCTCCTCCCAGCTCCAAGAAGCGTAAAAACTCTGATTCTTGACAGTTCTGTTGCTGTATCTTTTATATTTCTTCACAACATTCATAGCAGCCTTGGACCCCTTCTTCAATATAGGTTTAACTAAACCACATGTTTAACAGTTAGAACCTTCATAGCAGCCTTGGACCCCTTCTTCAATAGAGATTTAACTAAACTACATGTTTAACAGTTAGAACCTTCATAGCAGCCTTGGACCCCTTCTTCAATAGAGATTTAACTAAACTACATGTTTAACAGTTAGAACCTTCATAGCAGCCTTGGACCCCTTCTTCAATAGAGGTTTAACTAAACTACATATTAAACAGTTAGAACCTTCAATATTGTTCTGCATAAATACTTCTTCAATAGAGGTTTAACAAAACCACATGTTTAACAGTTAGATTCTTCAATATTGTTCTGTATTAATACTTCTTTAATGGAAGTTTAACTAAACTACATGTTAAACAGTAAAACCTTCAATATTGTTCTGTATTAATACTTCTTTTCTTAAAAGGACTGTAAAGTTTATTTGTACAGTCACTCTCTTCATGACATGCCTAATTTCCAACAGTACTTTTAAAAGCTTTGTCTAATTAAGAAAAAAAACACTTCAAATTAGTTTAACGACGATATCTTCTGCATTTTTGATCAGATAAATTTCGTAAGGGTACCTTAGTGAATTGTGCATTTGTTTAATTTAGAATCACTGGAAAATACGACAGTCCTTTTATTAGAAAGAAAACTACCCATTTTGATACCTGTTGTTTCCAGGATTGTTAATTACAGATGGAACAAAATTTCTTTCGACTTTGTTTTATCTGTATAAACTGTGGTTAACTTTTTCCCTATGTATTCAATAGTGTTCTATGGTAGAACCCCTCTAACCTTTGTGATAAAATCATGAATAAAATACACAAGATGGAGTGTTAACGCGGACTGACTGCTCATGTAGCCAGGACGGGATTAAGATGGAGTGTTCAGGTGGACTGCCTGCGCATGTAGCCAGGACAGGATTAAGATGGAGTGTTCAGGTGGACTGCCTGCTCATGTAGCCAGGACGGGATTAAGATGGAGTGTTCAGGTGGACTGCCTGCTCATGTAGCCAGGACGGGATTAAGATGGAGTGTTGACGCGGACTGCCTGCTCATGTAGCCAGGATGGGATTAAGATGGAGTGTTCAGGCGGACTGCCTGCTCATGTAGCCAGGACGGGATTAAGATGGAGTGTTGACGTGGACTGCCTGCTCATGTAGTTTTGTATATTTTGTGATAATCTATCATTCGACATTTTTGGGTATCATATATGCTGTGCACATTAATGTCTTGTAAAACAACTCTAGACATTGGTTCCTGTGGTTCCAGGGAGGGAGAGTGGCTAAAATTTAGTCTCCGTAATATTTGAAATTCAAATATTTCCTTCTTTAAGCCCACTGTGCATTTGTACATGAATCTTGCGGCTTTGAGCATCTTGAACCCGACTGGTACACGTCAACACTCCAATCCTGTGTGAACACTCCAATCCTGTGTAGTTTATTCATGGATAGAATCTATGAAAATACTTCTGTGTAGGGTTTTAACTTTATGTTAGATCTATCTTGCATAAAGGAGTTCTATTATGGTATGGGAGTAAATGAATTATTAATTGGTACAAGACCAAAAAATCTTGAAAAAATTGTATAATTTTTCTGTTGTGTGTAATATTTAAGTTCACATAATTTTTTCATTTTTTAGCAGAATTAACATATTTGTTATCCAAGTTATGACTAGTGTTAATTTTAAAATATATATATGATCAAAACGTTCATTACTATTTTAATTTTTTGTTAATGGTAAGGAATCTGAATATTACACTCAGAAAATTAAAATTTTGATTAAAATTTTTTAATTTATTTTAATCCTGCATTATCACTCAAAACCGGAAAAGGGTATTTTTTTTGTATTATTTCGGATGTTTTCCCTATGAGATAATAATCGATCTAATTGATATTAATCTTTATTAAATGCAATTACAGATTTTCAAATCCTTAGACTTTTCCTCGTCTCAAGCTTCTAAAGCTTAGGGTGTATATTTTTCAGAGATTTTGAGAGAAAAATTTTCATTTGAGTGAAAAAATCAATTAATTTAGAAGATAACTTATATTTGATATTTAAGACGAAAAATTTGTCTCATGAACCGAGATTTAAAAATTGTTTCCCGAGAAATTTTTTTTTCATTTTTTGTTGCTGAATTTCACCGATTTAGATGTATGTAATGTAAAATTTTTATTAGAAATTTAAATCTCTAGAATACCCTTCAGCTTATCTTCCATGAATATCTCAAACCAAGCCTTCAAATCTGCGAATCTATTAAAACAAATTTAATTAAAACTTTAAATTTGATCTTTATGTAAGCACCTGTCATCTCCAACTAGATAAGTTTTGCCTCCTATTGACTGCCTTCTACAAAAAAGGATTTTTTTTTCAATATTATTCCTATTTCGTTTCTATAATGGATTGGTTTTCAACCAGTTTATGCTTCTAGAATTTTTGTTAAATTATACTTTTTTTTCTCTTTTATATGAAAATATTCATTGTGCAGGATTATTAAGTGCAACTTTGTATTGCACACAAATATTAAAAGATTCAAATTTTTCTTGTTGCTTATTCATAATATCCTTCGAACTTTTATGAATGAAAAATATTTTGGTGTTATTTGACTTGAAGAGTGTGTTTAAATCCATATTAACGTCGCTGCAGCAAAAGTCGTTTACATATATAGTAACCACAATTGTAAGAAGTTATTGTTAACTAGAAAAGCTAAGACCTTTTAATCCTTCTTGATCAGACTAAGGATTAAAGGAGATTAAGGTTGATAGGAGATTAAGGTTTAAAGGAGACTAAGGTTTAAAGGAGACTAAGGTTTAAAGGAGACTAAGGTTTAAAGGAGACTAAGGTTTAAAGGAGATTAAGGTTTAAAGGAGACTGAAGTTTAAAGGAGATTAAGGTTTAAAGGAGATTAAGGTTTAAAGGAGACTAAGGTTTAAAGGAGACTAAGGTTTATAGGAGATTAAGGTTTAAAGGAGACTAAGGTTTAAAGGAGACTAAGGTTTAAAGGATACATTGTGCATGGATGCCAATTTGTAAATAGCGAGTCCCTTAAAATTTCTTACATAGTTTATTTTTACCTTTGTATTTTCTCTTCACCATCTCCAACTCCGAAAAGTGAAACATCACTGAAAACATTTTTAATTTAATTTAACAAACAGAAAAATAGATTTTAAGATATTTAATTGAAACATATATTTTCTAAATAAAATACAAATTTGATATGATAGCCATGATTTTGTGTTTTTTAATATTTTGAATCCATTCAGTTCATCCAAATAAATACCCCTGCCGCCCCTTTGCCATAAATCTATGATTATTATTTTGACACGCCTAATTTTCAATGTAAGTAAACTTATGAATTTTGACATATTTTAAACTTTAAAACTTAAAAGGTTTAAGTCAGGCGCCTGACAATTGACATGATAATTATAAACTTACGAGTTTACATTTTACAAAACTTATAAAAATATTAAAGAGACTGTAAGCGAAGTTTTTAAGGGACCCTTCATGCAAAACTGCAATGCCCGATTCACAATGGTACCCTTGAAACCTTTATCTGATAAATAACGTGCAAGATATTTTTTTAGGTTTAAAAGTGTTTAATTATTATAGTTCTAATATGTTTTCCTGCAGTAGAAATGCGCAAGTCACTTTTGTAGAGAACCCACAATTGGAAACTCATATTGATATATAATTTATACTAAAGCAGACAAAGCTTAAAAGGGATTAATTGTGAAAAGGCTATTGTCATCTTTGCGTGTAGGGTCACTTGAAATTACGTTTACAGTCCCTTTAAGGATACAAAATTACCTACTAAATATAACCCTCCTCCCTTTTTTTTGTCCGTTTCCTTTCAGGAAAGTGACGTAATTTCAAGAAACTTTTCATTTAAAATGTTGCATTCTTGATTTACCATTGTTTCTAATGCAAGTATATTTTACTTGCGAGCTCCGCGCAACGGAATTCCAATAAGAAACCCTAAGGGTACCGTTGTGAATTGTGCATTGTCAATGCGACTTTTGAAATGGGAAGTCCGTTGAAAATACATTGACAGACCCGATAAACTCAAAATTAAGTTCACTGGGACGAATTTAATGATTTTGTGGGGTTGCTGAACTGTCTAATGTCGGTTCAAATTTGAATCACCGTTGGTTCAAATTTGAATCACCGTTGGTTCAAATTTGAACTGGCAGTTAGTTCAAATTTGAACTGGCAGTTGGGTTTTTCTGCAACATAGCTCAAATTATTTAGATTTGGTCCCTGGTCTGGAATACTAGAAATGTACTCCTGTAAGCTAAAACTATTTATCTATTTTCATGATTACGAATTAATTAATAATTTTAGTTACAAAAAAAGCATTAGCAATTGACTGGGGGATATTATAATTATTTTTTATTCTTACTTGATTTTTTCCAAAATAATTTGTTGCGTATTTTCAATAATTTCAAGTCTTGTACTCAAAGTTTTCAGTTGAACCGACACTTTTTCAACAACATCCAACATCTAGATTAGATCTGAATATTAAATATAAAAGTTAGAAATTATATATTCAAAAATTATTTGCTTGGAATTAATTGCAAGATTTTTTGTTGTTGATTTTACCCAAAACCTTTATTTTATTTTTCTAAACCATTAAAAAATTTCTTAATTTGGAAAAGATATATAAGAGTAAAAGCAAAAGTATTTTTTTAAATAAAGAATTAACTGATAATTTTTTCATATCAGTTTGTGAAAGTTCGTAAATGCTTTTCTTTTTAATGAAATTATCGTTTTTAATTCAATCTTCATTTTTTCCGAAGTTTTGTAAAGTTAAAAAAAATGTTTAAAAGTTTAAATCCTATTTACTTTCTCGTGTCCTGAACAGCATGAGTTTTCTGACACTGGTACTGCAGTAAACAAATACTTTATTCGTAGGATTAATTAAACTTGAAAGTTAGAAAGTAAAAAAGCTTGTAATACGCGTTATTCATTTTATAATTCAATATTAATCAACAGCAACAATTCCGGGGTTTATAATAATAACAGGTGGAATATAACGTTTGCGTTTTTTATTTATAAACATGATATTTTACTTTTAAGGAGATACATTTATATTAATGGCAATGACTGATTCACAACGGAACCCTGCAAACCTTCATCTCTGATCAATAATGTGGTAGATAATTTCGTTTTTTTTCGGGGTTAAAAGTGTTCAATTCTGATAATTTTTCTGCCGAAGAAAAAATTCATTTTCAAAATTATAAACATTGATATCGAACTCATACTTGATCAGACAAAGCTTTTAAGTTACCGTTGTGAATCGGGCATTGCCATCTTTTTATGTAGGGTCACTTGAAATTACAGCTTTCAGTTTGTTGTAAATATATTATTAAGTACATTAAGTACAGAGCGTCCCATATTATATTAGATTATCTCCAAGTTTCAACGCCAAAAGAAACCCATAATACTCGAAAAACCTAGCATTCTTATATTAGCTTTATTTAATTTTTCAAAATGATTCATTCTTCTAAAACTTTCTGATTAGTCCCGAAAATCGCAATTTAGACTGATTGACGTTCTAATATGATATGGGACACTCTGTACCAAGACTAATCGTTTTAGTTGACAAATTAAAGGGAATAATCATCATTTATTTTTTGGTATTAGTAAATTTGATGTATTTACAGTTTTTAATTACTTTACCCTGAGAAAGCAAAAAAATCAATTTATAATATTTGAGGTTTCCTGTTGACACAGATTCATCCTCATCCTGAATTAGCAATAGTAATATTTTTAATTTGGGCCCAGAGGGGGTATTTCTAAATATAGTGGTTCTTATGGCTCAGTAACATTTTGCCTAGTACAAGTTCGCCTAGTACACTTTCGCCTATTACACTTTCGCCTAGTTCAAGTTCGCCTAGATAACATTTTGCCTAGATAACATTTTGCCTAGACAACATTTCGCCTAGATAACATTTTGCCTAGATAACATTTTTCCTAGATAACATTAGAGAGTAATTTTCGCCTAGATTAACATTCTTCAAATTAACCAGCTGTTCAAACAGAAAATGTGATACCACCTTAGGAACAAGGAAATCGAGTGGAAACCTGGTGTTAGTGCCCTGTAAGAAAAAATTTGTAAACATTATTATAATACATTTTTTCTGCTTTTAATTGAATTTCTTGAGGAAAAAAGAGGAACTTTATAAATTATAGTGAATTTATCTAGGCGAAAATTACCCTATAATGTTATCTAGGCAAAATGTTATCTAGGCGAAATGTTGTCTAGGCAAACTGTGTTTAGGCAAAATGTTATCTAGGCAAAATGTTATCTAGGCAAAAAGTTAGTAGGCGAACATGTACTAGGCGAAAGTGTACTAGGCGAACTTGTACTAGGCAAAATGTTACTGAGCCGTTCTTATAAAACTTAGGAAAAGGAAGCCGACTGTGGGACTCAAGTTATGATTTTAAATTGTTCAATGAACATAAAATTCAGACAGATTTCACTCTATCAGTTGATATCAAGCTAATCGTGTAAAACTATTTTCTTTATAATAACTTTAAAAACCCATAAAGTTTTGTCTCACCATTTCACACTTTTATGTGTCCAACTGTATTTTAAGGGAGTGACCGGCTATATAAGGTAGTTGAACTGAGTATGCAGTGTTGTGGAAAACTTCTTTCGGATTCATTTGAGACATATTAAACTTTTTAAAGATCTGTAAATGCTGAGTTTGAGCGCAAATTCGACGTTCAAAACTCCTACTTTCGGGGTGGATACGTTTTCAGAATTAGTTTTATCTTAAATTATCAAATAACGACTACGAAAAATTAAGTAAAAATTATACAGTAATCTAATTAGATGGTTAGGAACATATTTCTCAAAAGAAATTTGTCAATAAATCAATGCTAGAATCAAATATTTCGTTATCATCATTATATTTAATTTCTTATTTTCATTGAATTTATTCGCAGATTTCTTCAAATTCTTCAAGTGTCGTTCGTCTTTACAATAATATTCCAGAAAATCTGCAAAAAATCTTTGTGAATAATGAGAAAATAGAAACTAATAATTGAACAAGATTACTTATTTTCGATAATAAGATTAATTTTTACTTTCTCAACCTGTTCCAAAACAACTAATTAGTTTACTGTAGAATTTTTTTTACATTTTAGGTCGTCGTTATTTAATAAAATAAAAAACTAATTCTGAAAACGTATCCACCCCCAAAGTAGGAGTTTTGTTTCAACCAATTTCTTCAGTTCCTAGTATTTTTTAGTTAAATTTTTTTTAATTTTCTGCCATCTTTTTAAATGTTACAGAGTTTCCCCTAACGGATGAGAATTATAAACTACTGGTTGGAACTAATAATGACCAAATTTAGGACAAAGTCCAAGTTCAACCTTCAGCTCGACATTCTTTTTAGTTTTAGACTATCAATCTTATTTTTAGTGGGTAACCCTGTACATGGCAAAATCGATGAATGTAAATAAAATAAAATTATAAAAGAGATGTATAATTGAATATTAGAAAATGATTATTAGATTATTAGATTTGATCTCATTTCTTGAGGAAGAGGGGGTTCATAAGAAATTTTAGATGGCAAGGGCTATTTTAAGATAGTTGTCATTTAATGTCAGAGATATATTGGATGTAAAAATTAATCTTTATAAATTTTTTTTGTTTAAGTTTTGATCTCTAACAAACTTTTTTCGAATAACAAGTTATAAGTTATTAAAAAGAAGCTTTTTTAATTGAGAGCCTCTCTTGAAGTCTATGTTTATGTGTATCTATGCCGTTTAACAGCTTATTATAAATCAAAATTGAAATCAAAAGTTGTCTTCATTGTATTGATAAAATCGCCTACCACTGTGCGACTAAAATATATAGAGGGTTTCTAAGTTAACCTTAAAATGTTCTAGAATCCAGATATAGTAGCTTGCCCCTGATACAACAAGGATATCAGTATCATACACAGATACTGTAGTTTTCAACAGAAATTCATCATTCCCCTTTATTCTAAAAATACTTTCAATTATTTACAACTACTTTACAAGGAATTTAATTTTAACAAGGGTTCACAAGACCAATTTTGCATGCAAGGTATTTTAGGCAAAATTTGTCGAGGAAACCCGTGGTTAGGTAAAAAATATATTTTCCAAAAAAGTAGTTGTACACAAAATTTTATCGTCCTTGGAGTTGAAAATGCGCGAATTGTTTCACGGGAACTTCGCAGAGCGGGTGTTATATTACTAAATTTCCAAGGGACGCTAAGTAACTTAACCTCTTTTTCAATTTTAAAAGTAAACATGACCTTTTTACATAAAATGATCAGACAAACAGGGATTACAACTTTATATATATATATATAATATATATATATAAAAGATGCAGATATTGAACTGAAGAACTTAATGTATATCAAAGTTATTCCTTTGTCTTTTTTAAATTGTCGTTATGAGACTGTACAACAAGTTATAAATTTTAGTTTATCATGGAGAGTTTTAAAGAATAAATAATAAAATTCGTTAACATTTTTAATATTGTTTCAAAAAAAGGAAAATAGCGATAAAAGTTTGAAAGAAAAAACATAGATCTACGTTAAAGACTTGTAAATAATAAGATGAAATATTTACTTAAATCGAATGATGAATCTAATTCCAGAACCTCCTTTGGAGAACTGATTTTTTAGCGCTGTGATACTGTTCCTTCGCTGATTTCCTTAAATATATTTACTTTAACAAATTATATGTTTTTTTGCATGCTTAAGCATTTTTCATCTTAATAAAAAAATTGATCAGTGGATTTTTCTGAACAATATTATGTAAATGTTAATTTATAACAAAATTCTGATCGTTATTTGAATTTCTGTTTTATTAAGAATAAATGAACTTTTTCAAAACTATACAAAATTTTGAACGTCTTCAATAGATAAAAATTTGGTGTTCAGATCGTTTAAAAATACGGGGAAAGATGTAGCTAAGAAATGCGTTTCGAATATTCATTCAAGAAAAAAAAATATAATTTATGAAATAATTACAGTGAAACCCTTAATAACGAATACATCAGAAGAATTTATCAAATGTCGTCTTGACAATTTTTCAATGAGTTTTATACTATATACGTAAATTTCAGTATTTGCGAAAATAAATAAATATCCATGTATATGCGGGAACAGTTTTAAAGAGTTCCATATAATCATTTAATTAAAAAACTAAATATCTGCAACATTCCGTTATCAGAAAGTGTAGAATACGACATTTGATGAAGTCTTTCGATGTATGGCTTATTTAGGGTTTAACTGTAGAAAATACCTACAACCGCCGAGGGAAAAGTCATTTTTAATGCTTTTCTCCATAGTTTATGATCTTCAATCGTCAGTGCCATCCCATTTCCCTGAAATTTAAGTAAAAATAAAATAAATCTGCGAAATAAACCGTGACTAAATTGAATTGCCTTTATATCAACATTGCCAGGAGCGTACTCCGCGCATTTCCGCAAAGTTTTCTCCACTTCGGGATCATTTATGTCGTCTTCCTGGGCCTAAACACACGTGGGTCAGGATTAAATCAACGTCTTTTTGGCTGAAATTGCATACATTTATTTTAGTTGTATTTTTGGAAATCTAGTTCTTTAATCAGGACACACCATCATTTTGTTTTCTGTTTAATTGTACGACAAATTAAGAACTCAATTTAACATGATCTTCTACCTAGATTTAATAAATCATTGATTGGTTTTACTTATTTAGTTTAAATAGTGCTAAATCTCACAATCACCCATAAAAAAATCTTGAAAATTAATTTTATTTTTTTGATGAACTCTAAGAAAAAAAGAATAGATAACCATTAACTAATAGATAAATCCAATATTTTTACTTCTGATTCTACCTTTCTCTAAATATTTAGATATTTAGATATTTAGACATTAAGGCATTTAGATATCTAGACATTTAGACATTTAGATATTTAGATATTTAGATATTTAGATATGTAGATATTTAGACATTCAGACATTTAGACATTTAGACATTTAGACACTTAGATATTTAGACATTTAGATATTTAGACATTTAGACATTTAGACATTTAGACATTTCGATATTTCGATATTTCGATATTTCGATATTTCGATATTTCAATATTTCGATACTTCGATACTTCGATACTTAGACATTTAGACATTTAGACATTTAGACATTTATACATTTAGACATTTAGACATTTAGACATTTAGACATTTAGATATTTAGATATTTAGATATTTAGATATTTAGATATTTAGATATTTAGATATTTAGATATTTAGATATTTAGATATTTAGATATTTAGATATTTAGATGATATTTTGATATTTTGATATTTTGATATTTTGATATTTAGATATCTAGATATTCAGATATTCAGATATTTAGATATTTGAAGACTGTTTGAAGTGTTTTGTTTATCAGACAGCACAAGGTGAATATTGGAATTATTACAAGACAGACTTGTCACGCTGTTATCCCGTGGAATTATACTTTTAAAAATAATAATAAATTTTTCTTTAAAAGTAAGAACCAGAAAACTCCGGAATAAGATTTTGGGGCTCAAAGTATGTCATTAAATAGTCCACTGAACATGCGACACATGAAAACAAACTATTTGCATTGTAACAACATCAAATAGTAAATACGCTTAATAACTGGTTAGATGTGTTGTCTTATTAAGAGTTTTCTGGTTCGTACTGTATCATTAAAAACATGATTTGAACTGAAAGGTTTTTTTCTGAATCAATATGAGCTTGGAAATTATGAATCAGATTAAACTGAGCCTTGCATAATTTTTTAACTCATTCGGAGAGTGAAGGGGGGGGGGGACTTTTGCTTAGATAAGCGTTCAGAGATCGGAACTTTTGTGAGGATATTGTTCATCAAAAATAGGTTCATCTGAATTTTAAGATCAATCACGATATCAAAAATAGAACGGTTCTTTTGAATTTGAAGATCAATCTCGATATAAAAAATAGGTTCATCTGAACTTGAAGATTAATCTCGATATCAAAAATATGTTCATCTGAATTTGAAGATCAATCTCGATATCAAAAATAGGTTCATCTGAATTTGAAGATCAATCTCGATATCATAAATAGGTTCTTCTGAATTTGAAGATCAATCTCGATATCAAAAATAGGTTCATCTGAATTTGAAGATCAATCTCGATATCAAAAATAGGTTCACCTGAATTTGAAGATCAATCTCGATATCAAAAATAGGTTCTTCTGAATTTGAAGATCAACCACGATATCAAAAAAAAGTTCTTCTGAATTTGAAGATAAATCTCAATCTCAAAAATAGATTCTTGAATTTAAATTCAAAGATCAATTATTGATCCCTCAGTTAATGCATTTTTGGAAACTTTGTAAAGTAAAATTGTAGAAAAATATGGCTGCAGGAGTAGAATATATACCGTACCTTCTGTAGATGTAGAATATATACCGTTGTATTGATTTCTTTAGAATGACCTAATTTCAAAACAACCGTACCTTCTGTTTTAGATATTTAATGATCTCCCAGAAGGATTCATTGATTTTATTAAACTGAGAGAAAGCCTTTGAATTTCCAGGATGTCTAAAAATAAAGATAAGGTAATGTTTGTTTTTATAAAAACTTTATCTGGGTTATATTATGTTTTCTATCTGTGTGATAAATACCTATCTGGACGCATCTTATAATAACTTATTTATTTGGGTGAGCAATATGATCTATCTGTGTCCATGTTATGATAAATTACCTATCTGGGTTTACTTTTTAATGATTAAATAATCCAATGGCACGTTATGATAAGTTAACTATTTACCCATCTGTGTGCTTATTATGATGTTTTGAATATTTTGTTTCACGTGATGATGATGTACCTATCTAGAATTAGCACGTTATGATGATGTACCGATCTGGGAGCACGTAATGATTATGTACCTATCTAGAATTAGCACGTTATGATGATGTACCTATCTGGGAGCACGTTATAATGATGTTCCTATCTGGGAGCACGTTATGATGACGTACCTATCTGGGAGCACGTTATGATGATGTTCCTATCTGGGAGCGCGTTATGATGATGTACCTATCTGGGAGCACGTTATGATGACGTACCTATCTGGAATTAGCACGTTATAATGATGTACCGATCTGGGAGCACGTTATGATGACGTACCTATCTGGAATTAGCACGTTATGATGATTTACCTATCTGGGAGCACGTTATGATGACGTACCTATCTGAAATTAGCATGTTATGATGATGTACCGATCTGGGAGCACGTAATGATTATGTACCTATCTAGAATTAGCACGTTATGATGAAGTACCTATCTTGGATTAGCACGTTATGATGATGTACCTATCTGGGAGCACGTTATGATGATGTACCTATCTAGAATTAGCACGTTATGATGATGTACCTACCTTGGATTAGCACGTTATGATGATGTACCTATCTGGGAGCACGTTATGATGATGTACCTATCTAGAATTAGCACGTTATGATGATGTACCTATCTAGAATTAGCACGTTATGATGATGTACCTATCAGGGTGCACACTATGATGATGTACATATCTGGGAGCACGTTATGATGATGTACCTATCTGGGAGCACGTTATGATGATGTACCTATCTGGGAGCACGTTATGATGACGTACCTATTTGGAATTAGCACGTTATGATGATGTACCTATCTGGGAGCACGTTATGATGACGTACCTATCTGGAATTATCACCTTATGATGATGTACCTATCTTGGAGCACGTTATAATGATGTTCCTATCTGGGAGCACGTTATGATGATGTACCTATCTAGAATTAGCACGTTATGATAATGTACCTATCTGGGTGCACATTATTATGATGTACCTATCTAGAATTAGCACGTTATGATGATGTAACTATCAGGGTGCACATTATGATGATGTACCTATCAGGGAGCACATTATGATGAGGTACCTATCAGGGTGCACATTATGATGATGTACCTATCAGGGAGCACATTATGATGAGGTACCTATTAGGGTGCACATTATGATGATGTACCTATCAGGGAGCACATTATGATGAGGTACCTATCAGGGTGCACATTATGATGATGTACCTATCAGGGAGCACATTATGATGAGGTACCTATCAGGGTGCACATTATGATGATGTACCTATCAGGGAGCACATTATGATGAGGTACCTATCAGGGTNTAAGAGAGGGGGGAGGAATATTAATAGGTAGTTGTGATTGAAGAATAATCACAGGTTCAAAAAAAAGTCGAAAATTGTAAACATAATAGAACTAAATTCTTTTTAATCTAAATATAAAATAAATGTTTTATTTACTATTTTAATCTATGAATTCTGTTCAAAGTTCAGAGCTAGAAATATCAGAAATTTACACCATTAAGTTTCCAATATTATGGTTCAGAAAATCAGAATGTTCACTGTTTACTGTCTTCAAAGGAATTGAGTCTTTGCCACAAACTCTGATTTTCCAATTCCTAAAACTTTGCCACCTGATGGTGTAGACCTTTGATATTTTAAACTAATAATGCTGTTAGGTGACATAATCAAAATTTGAAATATAAAAGGTTTACTTCATCAGTTTGCAATGAAATAAGATATGGAAAATTTGAGCTTGTGACAAAGACTCAATTCCTTTATTTATTTATATCTTTTACAACAAAACAGAAATGTAAGAAACAAATAAAAAGGGAAATACTAAGTTTACAACTGCATTTGTCATAAAAATTATGAATTATATTTGACGTAAAAACCAAAACTTTCATTTAAGCAAAAACCTAGTTTTTTGCAAATTGCTTGTGAAGCACAATCAAAGATAATATATATATAGATATGCAGGCAGGTAGAAACCTCCTTCTTAAATTGCTTGTAGCAGACAACTAATTTTTGAACCTCTGAGAGAAGGTGCAAGGAGAGACATCTATAGCAAATTGATTACTTTCTATATTCCTTTCTCCCCTTGCTGCCATCTGTAGGAAATACGCATTTGTGTTATATAAACATACAGTACGCGTTTTGCATCCTGTATAGTTCAAGTGTTGCTATCTGGACCTGTTTGACCAATAAAATTAAATTTCAAGGTAACACAAACATACAGTACGCGTTTTGTTTATGTTATGATCAGATCAGTTGTAATTTGTCCTAGACTCGATGTACTTTTATAGTCATAATTTTTTATTTAAATTGCGTTAATTTACGTATGCCATTCAGTACAACTTGCACATTTAAACTTTGTCTAGTCAAATTCCTACCTCAGTTTTATTTGCATTGATTAATTTGTTTCATTAAGTACAATATGCAGTATACATTATTGATACTATAGTACGTATTTAGTGTTATCACGTATAAACAAAGTGATAAATTAGCAACAATCCATAGGATAAAATGCCATGCGTACGACAGAGATGGTGCTGTTTGCACCTTTTCTCAAGACCTCGAAATTTATACCTGCCTGCATATCTATATATATATATTATCTTTGAGCACAATGCAATGGAAGCGAGTACAATAAACCTTTTTAAATATGAAGGATGAAATAACATGGTTTGCAAAAATTTGTCCGCATAAAGCAACTTATTTCTTCAATTATTATTTATAAAGAAACAAACTGTCCAGCTTAAGATAACTTTAATGGGACTTTTAAGGTAATTTTAGTGATTTTCAAGTACGCCTTTGTTTTAGTAATAATCAAGGAGATATCATCGTAAGATCTTAAGCAAAAATTCCGGAAGACACTTTTAACAAGAAACCACAATTAAAAATAATCAATTTTCAGCCGAGAAATCATGAATTTCTCATTCATCCTTGATCAATCAGTGTTCTTTAAACCGTTGTGAGTCGGACAAAAATTACATCTACACTCTACAGTCCTTTTAAATATTAAAAAATCCGGCCTTAGCAGGTTCAAAGATGTTTAAATGGATTTGTATTCCCTATATCTTTGAATCATGATGTCGTAAACATTTGATATTTTAAATTAAAAATTTGATAGATTAAACTGTCCAAGTTTATGGTATCAAAAGTTTACACCATCAAAATGCCAAGATATAGGGATTCGACCAATTGTGTTGAACTCATGTTAACTCTAATTATACAATGCCTCACCTCATAGTGATCCTCCATGATGCTAAATCAAGTTTATGTACACTGTACACTGTACACCGTTCAGTTGAAAGTGTACCGTACTGTGCTGTATATTGTATTATCTCCAGAGCCCGAAGCTTTAGGCAGAGTCTCGTAATGAAACCCAGTTTCGTAAACCCTGTTTCATGAAGGGGGTCAGGCAGTTTTGTAGATATCAATATCTTTGCCAAGAAATATTATTTCATGTATATTTTCTTCTTGTTTTCTGATTTCTCAAATTAAAATCTACGCAAATGTTTACACCCCAAGAAGGAAAATCGGGAATTTCGTTCAACGATACTCTCTTAAATTTCCGGCTCAGCGTCTACGCTATTCTATTTTGAAACCATTTTATCTGAATTTGGTTTAAATATTAAAGGGTCTGGACTCCTGGAGTCGTTATTTAAAAGAGAGTTGCATATCTGATTCACAACGATATCCTTTATCTGAGTACGAAAGATATTTTCGTTTTTATATCAAAACTTGCTAAATTCAGACAGTTTCCTTGTCGTTGTCAATACAGCATAAATCCCCAAATTAATACCAAAAACCATCAGCTGGTAAAAAATGAATATCTTTGTCATCCTTGATCAGACAAAGGTTGGCATTGAGAATCTTAAATGCCATTTTCTAAATGAAGGATCCGCTGAAATTACGGATACAGTCCCTTAGACATTACTTTTTATTAAGCATGGGAAAGGAAGACGATACAGAAGTAATCTTGCCCCTATAAAGGTGGTATATACAATTTACATAAGATCCCTTAAACATTGTGTGTTAGGAGAAGAAATGCTAAATAATAAGATTGGTCATTGACAACTTAGCAATTATATTTCTTTAAAAACTGATGGAGGGGGTAAATAACTAAAATGCTCTTTCCTTAAAGTTGCATTCCTAAACTTATTGGGGACGTTCCCCAGTTCTGGGGGGGGGGGGTTACATGAAAAATAGAATTGGAGGCAAAGAAACTTGAATGCATTTTTTTAAAATTCAATTCAGAAAATTTTTTAAAAATATTGTTGTTATTATTATATTATTTTTCATGTTTACGTTAAAATGTTGAGTCGTCGAGTTATCATAGCAGACTGAACTTTTTCCCATTATTCTCTAATCTATCTATCTATCTATCTATCTATATAACTATCTATATATATATCTATCTATCTATCTATCTATCTATCTATCTATCTATATATGTATCTAACTATCTACCCATCTATCTATCTTTCTATCTACCTACCTTTCTATTTATTTGTTATATCTATTTATCCGTGATTCTAAAATATATATATATTTCAATATATTAATCTAACTATCTAGCTAACTATCTAATTTTGAATTTTAGAAGTAAAAACATTTACGAAGAAGAACTAAACATTGAATAATATGTAAAGGAATGGATAGATAGATATTGGTAAAAACAGTTAGAATTAAAACAAAGGTTTAGCCTCGAATTCAATACGCATTGACATGATGATAACAGGAATAGGTTTGGAGGTAAACAAAAACTTTATCTAGGAATATAAAACTTTATCTAGGAATCTAAAACTTTATCTAGGAATATAAAACTTTATCTAGGAATATAAAACTTTATCAAGGAATATAAAACTTTATATAAGAATATAAAACTTTATCTAGGAATATAAAACTGTATCTAGTAATATAAAACTTTATCTAGGAATATAAAACTGTCAAAAAAAAATCTGTAAAAACTACTTTGTTTACAATTCGAATAGTGTATTGTGTAAAGATGGTTGATTTAAAACACGAAACGAAAATGTGAGTTTAAAGTAATGGTGGGACATTTTCCACTTTCATGATCCGATAATTTTATTTAATTTTCAAAATCTTCATGTTTTTGTGAAGGTTAAAAGTACCAATAATAGTGATAACATGAACAGTATACTCCTTGAACAATAGACCCCTTGAACAGTAGGCTGCTTGAACAGTAGACCCCTTGAACAGTAGACTCATTGAACAGTAGACTCCTTGAACAGTAGACTCTTTGAACAGCAGTCTAATTAAGTTGACTTCTTGAACAGTATACTTCTGGAACAGCAGTCTCATTGAGTAGACTCCTTGAACAGTATACTTCTTGAACATAGAATCCTTGATCAGTAGGCTCCTTAAAGAGTAGATTCCTTGAACAATATGCTTCTTGAACAGCAGACTCCTTGAACAGAATGCTTCTTGAACAGAAGACTCGCTGAACAGTAACCTTCTTGAGCAGTAGACTCCTTTAATAGTATATATAGTGTATACTCCTTAAAGGGAGTGACCGTATCTACCCCGAAAGTAGGAGTTTTGAACGTCGAATTTGCGCTCAAACTCAGGATTTACAGATCTTTAAAAAGTTTAATATGCCTCAAATGAATCCGAAAGAAGCTTTCCACAACACTGCATACTCAGTTCAACCTCCTTACATAGCCGGTCACTCCCTTTAAACAGTATACTTCTTGAACAGTAGACTCCGTGGACGTAAAACTTAATATCTTAAATATTGGACTTTATCAACTTAGATAAACAAATAAAGATAATTTTAATAATTATCTATTTAATTGTTTATTCAAGATTTCTTAATTATAAGTTTTATTTCCTTCCATCACAATTATCTCATATTGTTTTTTTTCAGCCTTTTGACCAACAATACCTACCTATAATTTCCCCAACACCGGGATGTCGAGTTGATTATATAATAAAACAAGACATTCGTAAATATATATATGTTGCGTATGGCTAAACGGCTGGACCAATTGGGCTGAAATTTGTTGTGGACACTTATGGGTGGATGGGGGGGTGTTAAAGGCTAAAAAAAATTCCACGGGCAACGCCGGGCCTTTCAGCTAGTTCTTCATTAACGGCCACCATTCTAAATATATACCCCCTTTTTCCGATATATATTGCTAAAGGGATATTTTCTGCAGATTTCTGTCAATATTTTAGAATGACGGAAGCTGAAGTTTCGAACAATGAACACAATCAAAGTAAATTTCAAGAATTTGCAAAAATCTATGAAATATTTTGGCACATTTTCGATCAATAAATCACCAAACTTTCATATTTCTTTTGCCCTGAAAATATAGTATTTTGAGAAAATAAGGTTTTATTCATTTTTGGATCGTTTATGGCTTTAAAACGAGATTTTCGGGACTAATAAGAAAATTTAAAAAGAATGAATCATTCAAAAAAAGTATAAAGTGTATAAGCCTCATATGCAGAAAACACTAGGGTTTTCTAGTATAATGTGCGTATTTCAGCGTTAAATCTTACAGATAATTTCAAATATGGGATACTATAGTAGATGACTATTTGGAAAAAATGAAAAGGTGCAACAAAGCATAATTTGTAAAGGAATTGATTCTTTGCCACAAACTCTGATTTTCCAATCTCTATAACTTTGCCACCTGATGGTGTAGACCTTTGATATTTCAAACTAATAATGCTGTTAGGTGATATAATCAAAATTTGAATTATACAAAGATATAAGATATGAAAATTTTAGTTTGTGGTTCAATTCCTTTCTACAAAATCTTTAGATTTCCAACTTAAAGTTATTTCTCAATTCTCTTATCTTTTAGCATAACTCACAGACTCGCAGTAAGTGCAACGAGGGGGGGGGGATGGGGCTCAAATATTTCAATAAAATATGATTTTATGATTATATCCTTAATTAATAAATAAGTTTTAATGAGTTTTTTGTTTATAAACAGTTTTCATAATTCTCTGAAGTGAAATAAATTTTTTACAATTTTAATTTTCATTATTTTTTAGACTTTCTCTCGTTACGTATTTGCTATCCCCCCCTCCCCTACTCCCCCCAGGGTTCCAGGAACTTTTTAGATAATTCTAGAACTGCATATATTGGCCATGAAACTTGCGACAAAGAAATAGAAGAAGAAGGAAAAAGTTGAGACTCTGGATTCACCGCAGTTAGGCCTTATATATGATAGGAGTAGTGATACAATACATATAGTGATAGAAAAGGGATATATATTGTATATACCCCCTCCTCCTCCCCCCCTGGTCCCTTAGAAAATTAGCGTTTCTGGCAAAAACTCTGTTCCTTTGATTTTTTCGCTCTGAATTTGTAAATTAAAAATATTAATTGTATTTAATATACATTCAAACAGTTATGAATGAAATTATTTGAAATGATTTCAACATCAAATTCCCAATATGTTTTGTGGATTTTACACATAGAAGAAACTACTTTAAAAAATGAACACACTTTAGCTTATCTTATATAATTGATAGATAGATAGATAGATATATGGATAGATGACTAATTAAATCTTCTTATCTTTATTTAAGTTTCTATAATTTACAATGCTAGATAAAATCCAGTTATACTGTGTACTGAATACGAGTTGTATATTTTGCAGATGTGAAAAGGTGAAGAACAAATTAAACAAAATGGAGCGAAATCATAAAAACAGTTTAAAGAAATCTAGACAACAAATTGTAGATGTAAGTATAAATATCATGATTTATGATTCAATTAAAATATTTTTATTTAAGATTTTAGACAAGCCTAATTTTTGTAATGACTTTATCTTGGCAACCTAATGCCGTAGACCTTTGATATTAAAACTATAAATTCTGTCAGATTAAATTGTGCAAGTTTATCAAATAAAGAAAGTAATTTATTTTTTGAGGCCCTGATTACAATTTTTAGAATACTGTACGGAATTAGACTTTGTATAATTTATATTCCAGTTTTTTTTCTATTTAAATCTTTTATTAAATTTAGTTTCTTTTTTATAAGAAAAATATCTCACAAAAACTAAATTTAACGAACACATGAATTTTAATACACACTCTGAGTTCAATTGTTTAAAAACCTGGATTATGAATTTGTCAGTTTTCGTACAATCCGAATTCTGAATCCATCTATCTACCCTTGCATTATTGATTGATAAAAATAGATACAAAATGTAATATATTTTAATTATAAGCGTTCTTTCATATATTTAATAAAACATTTTTAAACTTTAGCATTGAAAGTAGGCCAGCTCAATGTCTTTTTAAAACTGATAATATATTATTTAAACCTACTTTAATATTTCCTGGTTATAAAGGGACTGTAAGCGTAATTTCAAGTGACTCTCCATGCAAGGATAGCAATGTCCCATTCACAACGATACCTTTACTTTTTAAAAGCCTTGTCTGATAAAGAATGAACTAGTTATCACTGTTTTTAATTTTGAAAACTGATTGCTTTAAATTGTTATTTCTGTAAAAAAGTGACCTGCGCATTGCTCTGCAGGAATACATACAGTAATTATCAAAATTATCTAACCTAGTAAAACGACATTATCTTCAACATTATTAATCAGATCAAGGTTTCAAGGGTCCTGTGAATCGGACATTTCCATCTTTAGAGAGATTCTTGAATTTACGAGGACGGTCCCTTTAACCCCTGTTGTTAAGGATCTTGATGTGAATGATGTGTTTGATGTTCTACTGCAGAATGATATCTTCAGTGATGATATTGTTGAGAGGATAAAAGCTGAAACTACTAGGTATTCTGACAGTGAAATAGGGCTAATCTACATCGCTTGATCTCAATCTCAATATCTGCTGTGGATTCTTTTAAATTCTTGGATCACGGACCACGGGATATTAAAGATTCCACAACGCAAAAAATTTGACCTCTGAAAATTTTGTTAAATTCAGAAATTTTGTTCTGGGTCTAGAACTGTAAAATCTATTTTATTGATTGTAACATCATGTAGTTAAGAGATGGCATTGATTTACATAAATTATTAAATAATTAAGAGTGTGTCAAATAAAAATATTGGATGTTTTATAAAAGCTTTTCAAAGTAAAGGTTTACCTTCTCCGTAACTTTAAAATTGAAGGAGATGTTAAACATTTGAACAATTTAGTTTTTTTTTTAATTCATAAAAATCTAGACATATTTCTCAATATCCTTGCATCAGCCCTTGATTAAATTGTCAAATGAAAATATTTTTATTTTTAGGAAGGACAAAGCCCGACGTTTATTAGATATTTTACCGTCGAGAGGACCCCAGGTATACAAACAGTGGTAACCAATAAAAACTTTAATACTATTATTATTAAATAATATTTTGTAATATAAAATTGTTTTCATTTAGACATCTCTAAAAACTTTTTGAGCAAAAAAAAAGAAAAGAAAAGAGTCACAAATTACCATTTCTCTGTAGTATTTCAATTAAATAGGAAGTAAATAGACTGCAATTTTATCAAAAGCTTTAACAGTCTCTTTAGTCAATTTGTTCAGGCCTACCCTGTCTTTTTGGAAGCATTGAGAGAAAACTACCGTTGGTTAGTCGATACTTTGGAGAACGGAGACAGGTAAACATTTTTAATCATTCTCAAATAAAAATAATGGTAAAAAATCAAAATGGCAGATAAGAAGAAAATAAATCAATTAATTGCTCTTTAAAAATCAAAATGGTGGATATAAAATCAAAATTACAGATTTGAGATCAAAATGAGGGATAGGAAATCAAAATGGCGGATATCATAACAAAATGGCAGTTATAAAATCAAACTGGCAGATATAAAATAAAATGGCGGTTATAAAATCAAAATGCCCGATACAAAATCAAAATGGCGGATATAAAATCAAAAGGGTGGATCTGAAATTCACATGTTTCTAGGGATGCACGGAATAATACACAGGAGATTAACAATCAGATAACAGAGGTTCTAATGCGAGGCGGAGTTCCCCACCATCCTCATCTCATAAACAGGTCTCAGAATGATCATTTATTTAAATTTTTCCCTCAATGAGGGGGGGGGGGGCAAATTTTAAATGTTCATATGATAAACAGACAATCTTGACCAAGCATTAAATGTCGATCTTGATTATTTAAAAAAATATTACTTTTGATCAATTAATTAAATAACTTAAAAAATAGCAAAATAACGTTCACATTATTTTCTTAAGTTACAAAGTAAAAATTGTTTTGTGTCAATAATAAACTAATTTCTGATGTTATTTCTTTTAAAAAAAATAAGATTTTAACTTTACAGGATTATTTCAATTTTTTCAGGACAAAAGAGACCACAGCAGTAAAACAAGGGTTAATGGAGTTGGGTTGCGGAAGGTAAGCATTAAGGCTTTAATTGATAATAAGACTTTCATGTTTTGTAATATAACCATAGGAGCATTTAAAAAATTCAACATCTTTTTAGATTTTACTTAAAATGTGTACTGGAAGTATACTGATAAACAAAATAATCATGATCACTGAATTTTTTCTTTTTTGAAAATATTCACTAATTGATTGATTGATTGATTGATCTGAATATGTTCAGATTCCTGGTACTCCATGGTATGCCTGGAAGTGGTAAATCTGTCCTGGCAGCTGAATCTGTCCGGGATCCTGCTATAGCAGTTCAACATTTTCCTGGAGGGATTTTCTGGGTCAAGGTAAACTAAAGCTAGGAGAGTCAACCTAACAAACCAAATCCGGAGGATGTCTCATAATAATTTGGATTAATTCAGTTGAATTAACATACAGTATTTGCATACCTTGTGTTAAATTATGAGCTGTTAATGTACTTTTTTATTACTTGTCGTTGAGCCTAGTTTCCAATTTTGACACAGGAAGGACTTGAGTTATTTAATAATACATAGCTTAAATGCTGCATTTGACTTAAAAATTAAACCTTAAATTTAAGATATTGTAACCAGCATGAACTCAAGTGCTGATGAGACATAGGTTGGTTGTCACAACCACTGCTAAAACTAAAGCCAAGTTGTTGGTAAAAAGGCCTTGATCACCCACTTGTGGCGTGATTGTTTAAAACCTGGACTGAACATGAGAATGACACGGCAAGAAACATTCAGGCTTGAATAGAATTCAAAAGTTTTCTCCACACGGAGTTGAAATCTCCAGGTTAATTCTTAAAACACTCTGCCGAAGGAGAGAACTTGGTCTGGGTTATGTCAAAAAAGGATCAGCCTTCTGGAGGAGAGGATAAAGAAATTCTCCCAACTCACAATGGTGTCATGACGGACAATCTGAGTCCTGAGAGCAGTCAATCTCAGGGACGGAACTTCAGATAAGCTCCTAACAATAGGTTAAACAAAGGTCACCACAGGAAACCCAAGCCTGTGGATCTAGATGGCTTTCAAGCCCAGAATACAAGATGATCTTAGAAAACCCAAACCTGTGACGCTGAATGGAGAAGAGTACAGGAAACCCATGACTGAGCACACAGGAAACCCAGCCTATGGCTCTGGATGAAGAATATTCCAAGAAACCCAACCTGTAGATCAGAGGAAACTGTATTAGCAGTATATCTACATCAATTTATTTCTTTATTTCTTTATTTTTTTCTCTTTAATATAAATGTTAAACTACTTTGTTCTTTTATTGGTGTGAAACAGGAAGACTACTAGAATATTGATATCTCCCTTTGGGTGGTTTCTTTCATATTTAAAGCATAACAATATATATAACTTAAATATCTAATTCACCAAAATCGATGAGTTGAATATTTGCCCCTGGTAAATCCCTGCAGTCGCTAATCATTCATGATATTAATGATGATTTTCTGGAAATGGTTCAGCGCTTGCATATTCATATAGTAATAATATATAAATCTGAGTTAAATTTAATATTATTTCAGGAATTGTTAACTCAAAACTCATTCTTTAGTTTTGGCCTCAGGGAGACATTATATTTGATCGCTTAATTTTGCTAATTTTGAATCTGTTCAGATTGGTACAGTACAACCGGAACAGCTGTTGGGGCGGATAAGAGCATTGTGTACAAAGCTAGATGCCGCAATCCTTCCAAACAATATAGAAGAGGGTCAGGAGACACTTAGGTCAGACATTTGTTATTATTGTTATTAAATTTGTATCCAGCCTTAAAAAAAGTATGGCTAACAAATCTTAAGACTTCTTTTTTGAATTTTCTTTGAAAAAGGGAATTTTTCTGTTAAGTGCAAATAAGAATTATAGGGGTTTTTCTGTGTGAATAACTTTTTTGTGGGAAAACAATTGAACTATTTTGGCAGTATAAAAATTTTTTTGTAAACAATCAAACATAGAATGAACAATCCAGGTTGAATGATAAACAAAATCTAGATTGTACCCTGTTAAATACTGGATTATTTAGGAAATTATTCTTATCCTCTGAATACTCTGACAGCCTCCTGATACTGGATGATGTCTGGAAAGCTGAGGTTGTTAAAACCTTTAACCTCCCTGTTAGGATCCTCATTACCACACAGGTTTTTACAGGACAATTTTAGGCTATTCAGGAACCAGTTTATGTTATTCAGGGACTATTCAGGGAATTCAGGAACCATTTCAGTTTGTTTAGGGATAATCTTAGGTTATTTAGAAACCATTCCAGATATCTTAGGGATGGTTTTAGGCTATTCAGGAACCATTCAAGTTGTCAAGGTACAACTTTTAGGTCATTTATCGACCTTAGAAGCTTCTTATGGACTATGTTAGGTTATTTTGGAACCATTCTATGTTATTCAGGGACAACTTAGGTTATTTGAGGACAATAACAGGTTATGTAGGGACTATTTTTAGTTATTCAAGGACTATTCCATGTTGTTTAGGGACAATTTTAGGTTAATCAGGGACCATTATTAGGTCATTCAGGGACATTTCCAGGTTGTTTAGGGACAATTTTAGGTTAATCAGGGACCATTATTAGGTCATCCAGGGACAATTCCATGTTGTTTAGGGACAATTTTAGGTTAATCAGGGACCATTATTAGATCATTCAGGGACATTTCCAGATTGTTCAGGGAAAATTTTAGGTTACTTAAGATGCAGGAACAATTCCAGGCTATTTAGGGACAATTTCAGGTTATTTAGGGGTCATAAAGATTATGAAAGGGAGTGTTCGTGAAAAAATTAAAGGGGATATGAATTGAATTCAATATCAATCTCTGCTAATTTTACTTTTATCTGGTTCATATATAAGGAGAAAAGTGTTAAAGATAATTCATACCAAAGAATGTAAGACCTATACAAATTCACAGAGTTACATTATTCCACTCAGAACGTAAATAATTCAATTTAATTCAATATTAATCACTCAGATATTACAATCGATGGTAGCTACAGTGAAACCCTTAATAACGAATACATCGGAAGAATTTATCAAATGTCGTCTTGACAATTTTTCAATGAGTTTTATACTATATTACGTAAATTTCAGTATTTGCGAAAATAAATAAATAGCCCATGAATATGCGGGTACAGTTTTAAAGAGTTCCATATAATCATTTAATTAAAAAACTATATATTTGCAACATTCCATTATCAGAAAGTGAAGAATACGACATTTGATAAATTCTTTCGATGTATTCGTTATTAAGGGTTTCACTGTATATGCCACTCTCAAGCCAAATCCCTGAAATATTGAAAGCAGAGACACCTAGTGGCCAAATAATATTGACATAATTAATCATCTGACAACAAGAAGAGGAATGTTTTATGATTCTCATTGAATTGTTTTTATGAAAGAAATTTCCAATTATCTTATATATATTTATATAAAATATTCAGGATGTCTCCATTATGAACGTTGTACCTGGGCTCTTCTCAATAATTGAATTACAACCGGGGTTTACTGAACAACAATCCCTGCAGCTATTCTCAACATATCTTAAGGTATTTTGCATACAGTAGAACACATCAAATTGTGAAATAGAACGACGACTTTTAGACTCCAGTTAAACTCTGTGTCTTCACCATGATTTGTTCATGGTAGACCTTTCTCTTATTATTACGACATTGGGCCGCAATGCAACTCTTTAAAAGGAGAAAACTTGAAATTTCTTCAAAAATCAATTTTCATATTTTTTTCCAGATCCCCGTCAATTTCCTTCCTCCAGAGGCTAAAGAAATTCACAATGAGTCTAAGGTAAAATTTTCAAAACTTTCTTAATATTTTATTGAATGCTTTTTAGGGGCTCATGCATTTTTGGACCTAATTTTTTGTTCTATATTACTGCTTGATTACCTCTAATGTACCTAAACATTCACAATCTCTCCTTGCTGGTCAAAGAATTCAATAAGATTAAATATGTTTAAATTTGCTGTTTAATCTTTTAAAGGAAGTGGTTTAAAATGGTGATGTAAGATGGTTTGGCACTAATTTCATTTTTATCCAAAGTTTTTGAGCATTAAATCAAATGAGAAAGATGGAAATATCAAAAAATATCGAGAATTGTAAAATTAAAAATTAATTGTTTACTCACTACTTAAAAAATTGTAATTATTATTAACAATAATTATTATATTTGTCAATTTATTAACAGGGGTCCCCTATGGTGATTTCGATGGTTGCAAGTCTTTTATCAGAGACAGGTAGACAAGCGCAGACCCAGCGACAATCAGGCCGGTGGACTTACTACCTTCACAACCTCAGAAATCGCAGGTAAAAAGAAATGCAGGCAACTTAGAGAACATTCTTTTATAATGATTTTTTATTTCATAGTTAAGTATATTTTAAAAACATTTCTTCAAACAAAATAAGAATTGAATCTTTACTATCGTTTAACTGGATTTCTAGGTTTAGTTGTTAATCATGTATGGCAATAGGACGAAATTACAAAATCGAAGTCTAATAAAGGAAACCACCAAAAAAATGCATAATGCAAAATTGCAATACGATAAATCAAAACTTAACATCAAGAAAACGGCTCACAGTTATTTATTATCAGAAAACAAAGGAATTGAGTCTTTGCCACAAACTCAAATTTTCTAATCCCTATATCTTTAAACCCCGATTTTGTAGACCTTTGATATTACAAACTATAAATCTAGGCAGATCAAGTGGTGTAAGTTTGAAATATCAAATTTTTACACAATGAGGATTTAGGGGTTAATAAATTTATGTTTGTGGCAAAAACTCAATTCCTCTATCTTTCAATAATTGTTTAATAATTTTATTGTTTAGATATAGTAAGATTACGAAGCAAAGATCCTATGAGCATGAAAGTGTGATGGGTGCTGTAGCAATGTCAATAGATGTACTTCCCCCACAACAAAGGTACAGTACAATACAGAACAGTACAGTACATGGCAATAAGTCTAGTCTTTATATGTCCTAAACCATGTAAACTATCAACTGTTCAAATCAACATACTAGCAATACTGTATCTCTACACTGTACACTGTACAGCTGTTTTTTTATTATGTAATTTATACTATAAACTGTAAAGATATATGTACTATGTATACTATAAACTGTACACTATAGAGATAATTTATGCTATTTATGTACCATATAAGCTTAAAATTGCACACTAAAAGCTTTGTGTACCAGAAACTTGAACCACTTCTTTTATTGGCCAGTTCAAGTTGAAAAGAAGTGGTTTAACTTAGTCTGCGTAGCCAAACTACTTTTTACTACTGCATTTAATAATTTTCCAGGTCAATGTACGAGAAGCTAGCTGTATTCCTTGATGACGATCCAATTCATTCTGCTGCCCTTGAAGTTCTCTGGGGGGTTGAACGCTACGAGGTTGATTTTAAAACTTATTCTGAAGGTTTTCCTGATAAACGTGGGTGTTCTGCTAGAGTTTAGAATAGTATTTGTTTTTATTTTGATTGCATTTTGTCTAAAGTAAAATGAATTTTATATAGGTGTACATCTCAAGTCCTCACTGTTCATCTTACAGAAATGTTGCAAAATAACAAAGCAAGAATTATGCTGACTTTTAACAAACATAAATCTTTTTCTCTTTCCATCTTAATTTTGTTTTTGCAAAGGAATTGAGTCTTTGCCATAAATTCAACTTTCTAATTCTTTTTCAACTTAATTTTTTTGTTCTTTTCTAACTTCTTCTGTCCGAGCAATTTTTGAAAAAAAAAATATTTAATTTCAGGTTGAAGACACAATGAATAAATTTATCCAGAAATCCCTAGCAATGTGTGAATATGATGCTGTGCATGAATGTTTTCTATATTCTCTTCATGATCTACAATTAGATTATCTCAAGAATAGGCTTTCTAAGGTAGTATTTTCTATATTCTCTTCATGATCTACAATTAGAATATCTCAAGAATAGGCTTTCTAAGGTAGTATTTTCTATATTCTCTTCATGATCTACAATTAGATTACCTCAAGAATAGGCTTTCTAAGGTAGTATTTTCTATATTCTCTTCATGATCTACAATTAGATTATCTCAAGAATAGACTTTCTAAGGTAGTATTTTCTATATTCTCTTGATGATCTACAATTAGATTATCTCAAGAATAGACTTTCTAAGGTAGTATTTTCTATATTCTCTTCATGATCTACAATTAGATTATATATTTTCTATACTTACATTATTAGAAAGTTATAAATAAATTATTGGACCAAAAAACTGATTTCCTGCCACAAACTCTAATTTTCTATTAATTATATGTTTGTAACCTGATGGTGTAATCCTTTGACATTTCAAATTTAGAATATGTTATCTAATTATAACAAAATGCTTTCAGAAATATCACCAACACGATTATTGATAGAAATAATGGTGCAAAGCGTTCTGTAAACTTATTTTTCTTAAATTTCTGATTCAGGAGGAGGAGACGGAGATGCACAGGATGTTCGTGGACAAGTACCTGGACATGGTCCAGGGGAAGTTTGGTGATCTTCCCCATGATAATTATATTCTTACACATCTTGGATACCATCTTTATAAGGTTAATAAAATTATTATTATTATTATTATTATTATTATTATCATTATTATTATTATTATTATTATTATTATTATTATTATTATTATTATTATTATTATTATTATTATGTATATTATTATCACTAGCACTATTATTATTGAAATTATTCAGGCTGAGATGTTTGATTTGTTTAGCCAGGTTTATCTAAACCTCAGGTTAATATTTTTTATTTTCCTATTTTATTATTATTATACCTTGTTTTTTTTCTGCAATTTTAATTCTATTCTATTTCTATTTTTTTGTTTATTCTCTTCTATTTTACAATGTTATCTATCATTATATTCAGAAAAGATTATTTTTGTCCTTAAGCAGTAGTATACAGAGCAGTAGTATACAGAGCAGTAGTATACAGAGCAGTAGTATACAGAGCAGTAGTATACAGAGCAGTAGTATATAGAGCTACGAAATTTTGTGTTTGATTCCCATTGTCCGAACTCTTGATCTCGATATCCACTTAAGGCACTTTTAACTTGAGCTTAAATGCTTGACCTCTTCATTTTAATTATTCATCCGGAGCTGAAAACGTTAGAATGGTTGATTTCGAGATTTATGCTTGATGCTCTCTTTTTGCTACTAACTTAGTTTTTAGATTTCTAAAGATTAGAAGTGCTATTTTTAACTTTTGAAAACCCGGTTTTTTCAAAAGTTTCCCGCATTTTTGGTGTCAAATCAATTGGACAATTGATCGATTGAACGAACGTAAGTTTTGGATTAATGTGTGTTAAGACTAACGTTTAAAAGAACTACTGTTCTCAAATGTGATAAAATATGTTTTTAATAGCTTCATATCAACATGATTAAATCAATATTTATTTAAATGCTCTAAAAGCTGGCTTGTGAACAGCTGACTTTTGTTCAATCGGATATTAGTCCAATAATCAAACGTATCTTTATAACAACTAGTAGTAAATGTAATATCCAATTGAGCGGATTAAAAAGAAAATTAGAAGTTTCCACAGTGGATATTCAGATTAAACGATCGGAGCTGAAAATTTTAAACTGGTGGACTGGATGTCGAGATCAATGCTTGATCTGCTTTTTTTCTTAATCTCCAGATTAAATAATGCCTTTTCTCCCCTTGTTATTAATCTCCAGATTAATTAACCGATCGGAATTAAGGATATCCCATTCTAAAGTTTTCAGCTCAGGATTAATGGTGTCCAATTCTAAAGTTTTCAGCTCCGAGCTGAAAACTTTAGAATGGTGGATATCGAGATCCATAATTATCCTCTCTTTTTCTTAATATTGAGACTAACCTAATCATGTCAACCAATCAGAGTCGTATATAAGAAGCCGATAAATTTGAAATTTTGCGCACCATTTAAAATTGATATACAGAAACGAGAAACCGGTTTTTGATTTTTTTTCTACTATATCCAAGAAAGAACGGTTTACAAAGAAAATCAAAACTGTGTTCATTGGATACTCAGATTAAGTAATTGGGTTTAAGGATATCTCATTCTAAAGTTTTCAGCTCATGCAGGATACAATTACCACTGGAATTAATAAAGATTATATTAATCAGTAGAAAAAAAAGATTCAAGAGTTGACAATGTAAAACTTTCATTAAAAACTCTATTTCCTTAATATGTTGAGAATACTCTATTTCCTAGATATGTTGAGAATACTCTATTTCATAAATAAGTTGAGAATACCCTATTTCATAAATAAGTTGAGAATACTCTATTTCCTAGATATGTTGAGAATACTCTATTTTCTAGATATGTTGAGAATACTCTATTTCCAAAATATGTTGAGAATACTCTATTTCCTAGATATAATGAGAATACTCTATTGAGAATACTCTATTTCCTAGATATGTTGAGAATACTCTATTTTCTAGATATGTTGAAAATACTCTATTTCCTAAATATGTTGAGAATACTCTATTCCCTAGATATGTTGAGAATACTCTATTTCCTAAATATGTTGAGAATACTCTATTTTCTAGATATGTTGAGAATACTCTATTTTCTAGATATGTTGAGTATACTCTATTTCCTAAATATGTTGAGAATACTCTATTTTCTAGATATGTTGAGAATACTCTATTTCCTAAATATGTTGAGAATACTCTATTTCTAGATATGTTGAGAATACTCTATTTCATAAATAAGTTGAGAATCCTCTATTTCCTAGATATGTTGAGAATACTCTATTTCCTAAATATGTTGAGAATACTCTATTTTCTAAATATGTTGAGAATACTCTATTTCCTAGATATGTTGAGAATACTCTATTTCCTAGATATGTCGAGAAGGTTTTAAAGAATTGTGGAACTGCGTCAATTCTCTACGATTACAGGTTAGATTCTGGTTAAAATTAGATTTCAACATTTTTACATTTTAATTCCTGAATATTCTTTATTCAACCAAAAATACTAAATTTTGACAAAAAATACATTTCGCTTGGTATAAAAATGAATTTGTAATTATTACGCGAAATTTTAGAATATTAAAATTAGATATAGAGAAAAAGAGCAGTACTGGTACGACATTGTGACTTTGTAGCCCTCCTAGTTTTGATTGTAAGAATGAATTTGTCATAAAAGAAAGATCTCAAAATATAGATTTTTTCTGGAAATGAGATTGAATATATTTCAGGAAATACCATGACCAGATCTCTTGTGAGAGTAGCGGAGGACAGTTTGAGGAGGATCTTCTTGATTTCGAGGATTTTTGCAGGTTCATCCTTTTCACGTTTTAATTAACAATACTATTACGTAAACATACCTTCAGCAGAGCTTGGAACTTTTAAATGGTGGATATCGGGATTAATGCTATATCCACTCTTTTTCTTAATTTCGAGAATTAATCTCCAGATTAATTAACCGATCGGGATTAAGGATATCCCATTATAAAGTTTTCAGACCAGGAGGGTTTAAATATGACTGAGAGTTGTTTTAAGAAAGCCCCCCCCCCCCATGTTCATTAAGATTTTATTTCTATTTAAAAATGACCTGAGCTGAGAACTTTTGAACTACTTAATCCGAATATCCAATGTAGAAACTTTTAATTTTAGTCCTTAACCCACTCTTTTTCTCTCTCTTTGGGTGTCCGTACATTGTTTTCTCCAATGAGAGTGCATGAATATAGTTCGTAGATTGTATTGACCAATGACAGCCCTGAAACGAATTCTATCCAATTAGAGACCTCCGTAATTTCTACCAAATAAAGAATTTGTTGTCGGCCATTTGTAAATTAATCGATGAAGAAAAATATGTAATATTACGTTTGACATTCTTTTTGAACTAATTTTAACTAATATGTGAGAAATTTAGTGAAGGCCCTTCCAGTCAAGAAAATGAACAAATCTGGCGTTCCTAGAATCAAATTTATTAATCTCGAGATTATTTTGGTCTCAAGATTAGCAAAAAGAGAGGTTTAAGTATTAATCCTGATATCCTCCATTCTAAAGTTCCCAGCTCTGCTTACCAGATACACAACGAACAATTCGAACATTTTCAGAAGCAAAATTCAGTAGGATAATGATATCGCTGTTTTTACCGCGGACATATTTTAATAATGATTTCTCTGTAAAAGTGACTTACAAATATATGTTGCATAAGTACAAAAGAACATTAGTTCGACAGAATTTATTACGAAATAAGATCGACGATATGTTCATCAAAGTTGCTCCGAGTTTAAAGGGCATCGTTTTTAATGAAAGGGATATGAAAATCTGAGATATGTCAACTTGCATATGTATTGATACCAGTTTTAAAAAATTATTATTATTATCTACATGATAAAACATGACATTCGTATATATATATATGACCTATTGGGCTGACATTTTTTGTGGACACTCAACCTAATTAAACAATTTGATTTTTTTGTTTTGAAAACTTTTTTCAATTTTTTTTTTTACCGCGGGCATTTCAGCTAGTTGTTACTATTATTATTATTATTATTATTATTATTATTATTATTATCATTATTATTATTATTATTATTATTATTATTATTATTATTATTATTATTATTATTATTATTATTCAAATTATTATGTACAGGACTGCTGGAGTTATAGTGAGTACAGGACCATGTACTGATATTGTACAACTTGGCTTGAGTGAGAGTACAGCGTCAGCAGTATACACGGCAGCTAAGTATGCATATTTTAAATCTTACTTTTTCATACAGTTTTTAAAAATAAAAAATGTATATGATTTCTTAATTTTTTTGGGATTTGTTATACTTTTAAAACTGTTAATCAATTTTGAAATTACAAAGATTATGTTATGGTGACATCAGGATACAAATTATTAGTGAATTGGTGGTGTTTAAATATTTGTTCTCTATTTATTTTGAATGGTCCTCTTAGTTTTGGAGTATTACTCATGGAGATCACCATATGCATATAATGCAGTTAGATAACGTAATATGTCTGCTTAACGAATAAGACATTTGTTCTATGTTAAAACATCCCCCATCACATTAATTAGGATTAGCGCTGCGACTAGGAAACACTAGGGAGCTGAGCCCTTTGGCAAGAAGAAAACAATGGTAGTTTTTCACATGGAAGGAAACTCATAGTGCTTTATGCAATATTGAAATTAATTGAAAATAGCTTTGCAAAAATTCGTAGCGCCGTGTTAAATCCTTGTTTGGTTTAATATAATAGCCTTTCTCTCTTTATTTCTTTGCCTAGGATATAGAGCAAATATATAGCGAATACAGAGCATCTACATCTAGAATACATTTTGGATACTAGCGGATACAGAGTATCTACATCTAGAATACGTTTAGGATACTAGCGGATACCAAGTATCTATATCTAGAATATATTTAGTATACTAGTGGATACAGAGCATCTATATCTAGAATATATCTAGGATACTAGTAGATACATCATTGTTAACACAAATTCGAAATATAAGGAAGACGATTTTACCGACTCAAATGCCGATGACTATTTTCAAGACGTGTGTATCCATTTCCGCCATGAAACGCCCACATGTCACCCTCGCTCCTTCTTTCCCCCCTTACCCCTCTACACATCCCAGCCCTCAGTCAGGTTAGGAGAGTTGAGCTACTAACAGCTCCGACACAGGGAGCTGTATCATGATGATGATACAGATACTCAGCCAACAGCAGGCGTGCTTATACCCGAGAGTTCCCAGTTCATCATGCATTCCAGAGACAACATAATCGCTCCTAGCCAGCATGACAAGCCGCGATCTCTTCCTACTGATTTTGATAAGCCCTGTTGTCCCAGTTCCTGTTGATCTGCTCCACCAACATGAAGCTCTACAACACTCCCATGAATTGCCATCAAATATTCATCATTAATTCCTTTGTTAATTTCTAAATCAACCAATTTTAACTCCGTCTTATATGCAAATATTTTAAAACTTTCGTTTTTTTAAATAAATGTTAGAAATATGCATTTATAGATCTCTTTATTTTACTATAGTGACTTTTAAAATCAACAATTATACAAAGCATCTATATCTAGAATACATCTAGGAAACTAGTGGATACAGAGCATCTATATCTAGAATACATCTAGGATACTAGTGGATACAGAGCATCTATATCTAGAATACATATAGGATACCAGCGGATATATAGCGAATAGAGATCATCTATATCTAGAATACTTCTAGGATATATTGCGAATAAAGAGCATCTATAATCTAGAATGCATCTAGAACACTAGCGGATACAGAGTATCTATATCTAGAATATATCTAGGATACTAGCGGATACAGAGTATCTATATCTAGAATATATTTAGGATACTAGCGGATACAGAGTATATCTTTATCTAGAATATATCTAGGATACTAGCGGATACAGAGTATATCTATATCTAGAATATATCTAGGATACTAGTGGATACAGAGTATATCTATATCTAGAATATATCTAGGTTACTAGCGGATACAGAGTACATATATATCTAGAATATATCTAGGATACTAGTGGATACAGAGTATCTATATCTAGAATATATCTAGGATAGTAGCGGATACAGAGTATATCTATATCTAGAATATATCTAGGATACTAGTGGATACAGAGTATATCTATTATCTATATCTAGAATATATCTAGGATACTAGCGGATACAGAGTATATCTATATCTAGAATATATCTAGGATACTAGCGGATACAGAGCATCTATATCTAGAATATATCTAGGATACTAGCGGATACAGAGTATCTATATCTAGAATATATCTAGGATACTAGCGGATACAGAGTATATCTATATCTAGAATATATCTAGGATACTAGCGGATACAGAGCATGAATACCTGTACCTAGAATGGAAGAATAGATCGAGTTTGCATTCACAAAATATTGCAACAATTCTTCATCCAGGAAAGCCTTCGGATATCAAGTAAGTTTACCTTTCTAATTTAACCGAAAAAAAAACTTATTATTTTCATCCAAAAGCGGTGAAACTGGGACTTTTCAAATGCGACTCTCTGGGGACAAAGGAATTGAGTCTTTTCCACAAGCTCAAATTTTTAAACCTCTATATCTTTTCAACCTATTAGCGTAATCCTTTAATATTTCAAACTTAGACTATTTGATCTAACAGAATGCATAGTTTAAAATATCAAAGGTCTACGACATTTGGTTGAAAAGATATAAGAATTAGAAAATAAGATTTTGTTGCAAACTTTTATGTATTCTCAGAATGCTTAAAGGAATTGGGTCTTTGCCACAAACTCTAATTTTCTAATTCCTGTATTTATTATTCAAACCAACAAGTTAGACTTCAGATATTTCTTATGACTTCTGTTTTATCATTTAAGTTTGAAAATCAAAGGTTTAAAGATTAGATCGATTAGAAAATAGGAAATTGTGACAAAAACTCGATTCCTTTGGAGCAACTGTTATTTAACTAAATCATTTTTTAAGAGGGAGGGGGGGGGGTTAAAATAAATAGGTTAGTAATAAATCTCAAAAACTTCCTAATCTCGGAAACATTTTTATGGAAATGGACGAAAATAATTAAAAATTATTATTTGTTCAAAGATTTTTTCCGGACGCAAGAGTTGTAACCTCGACAGAGGAAGGAGTAATTAAGGTAATGATTTTGTTTAGTTTGAGAGTGGAAATATGAATTTTTCTTATTTTTTATTTTGCCTGCTTTAAGGAAAATATAACATAAAAAAATAATGATTATATCTGAGCTGAGCTGAGAACCTTTGTGTCGGATAGTCACAATCATGATTAACTGATTTCGATATTTAATGCGGGCACTTTTAATTTGAGGGAAATTGAATAAAGATTAAATTAATCTGCAGCTTAATAGAAGATCGGGATTAAGCATTGGTCTCCATATCCACAATACAAATGTTCCCAGCTTTGAGCTCGCGTACCTTCCAACCAACTCCTTTCATTTCTCATATAATAAAATGCCGTGCTTAAATTTATTTTCTTATCTCCTGAACTGATATTGGCCAATTCATCAAAACAACCTTAACTGGATAGAATTAGCCCAGAGCGCCCTAGACTACATCTCGTAAACTTTTATATATCTTCAGCTGTTATTGAATACAAATATGTTTGTGTTTTCCTAGGTTTGGGATCTAACTACTGGAGATGTAACTCAACGTCTCCATGGGCACTATTCACCAATTTCATGTGTTAGGTAATTACCCCCCTACCCCCCCCCCATGCAGATTCTTCATTAAAGAGAAGTTTTATTGACCTATCCCTGCATCTAGTGTTGAACCCTCAAGACTCTGTAGACTGTTTCTAGTATAGAACCCGGAGAAGGTTACCTGATCCATCTCTGTATCTAGTATAGAACCCTGATAAGGTTTATATATACCAATCTGTGTATCTAGTTCAGAACTTGGAGAAGTTTTATTAACTCTATCTCTGTATTAAGTATAGAACCTCGAAAAGTTTTATAAACTCTATCTCCGTAGACTGTATCTAGTTTAGAACCAAGGTTAACTGATCCATTTCAGTATCTAGTATAGAACCCTGATAAGGTTTATAGATACCCATCTATGTATCTAGTGCAGAACCTGGAGAGGTTTTATTAACTCTATCTCTGTATCTAGGATGGAACCTGGAGAAGGTTTATTAATCCATCTCTGTATCTAGAGTTGAACCTGGATAAGGTTTTTTAATCAATCTCTGTATCTAGTGTTAAACCTGGAGAATGTTTATTAATATATCTCTGTATCTAGTGTTGAGCCTGGAGAAGGTTCAGGAACCCATGAGATAAACCTATGTACTGGAGGAGAGGATGGATGTATAAAGACATGGAGATCTAGTCCTCTAGCTCCGGATGATAATGTAGACAATGCTGCACTATCTGTCAGTAAGATACATTCTTATTTTGTAAAAGTTTCATATTTATTTTATGAGATATTAACATATCAATGCTTGCTGGGAAACTAAACTCTCTCTATTAAATAAAACTCACTCAACCTAGAATTTTTAATTCAAACTTGGACATTCCCGAGGTTCAACCGAGTTCCCTAATCAAAATTGATCGAGGGGTTTATGAATTATGATCGGACATACATACAGACAATGAGAGATCTCTACTTTATAAAAACAGGACTGATCCCAAAAGGATGCTACTTAAATGACGACCTTAAATTTTTTTAAAGATCTAAAGATTTAATTTAGTCTTTGAATGATATGCTACATAATTTAAACACGAGACACGTGGCTGAACCGGTTCTAGACCTGGTTCAAATTCATTAAATCTGGTCACATCTCCTATTTTCTATTCTACATTACAGTTACATCTAATCAATCCTATAATGTTAATATCAATCTCATTAAGATTAAATTTTAAAAATGGATTTTTCTTCAAAAATCAACTTTCAGGGGCAATTTTTATAATAATTCTCACCAAATAAAATTAACTTTGATAGTCTCTATGACTCATTTCTTGTGATCGCTGCTTTTAAAAAATGTTTATTTCAGGGCGTAAAAGTGTGAGAAAGCATTCTCCTAAGCTGTCAGGACTAGAAGTATTAAATGAAATATTCACAAGCAAAAACCAGGTTAAGCAGCAAACCTCATTTGTTTCGAGAAAGATTCTGATTACTTGACATAAACTCTAATTTTCTTATCCCAACATCTTTACAACCTGATGGTGTACACCTTTGTAACTTGAGTTAAACAATTCGTCTTAAGATTTTACAGCTTTATGAGTCTCACTGTACAATCTGTTTCAAATATTAGAATCTGTCTATATACAGTACACTCAGATTCTAGGTGTTCATGAATCTGTCTATATACAGTACACTCAGATTCTAGGTGTCCATGAATCTGTCTATATACAGTACACTCAGATTCTAGGTGTCCATGAATCTGTGTCTACTATAAAAATTTGTCTAGATACAGAATCTTCTGATTCTTATTTATATGTTCTAGGTCGATGAATCTGTGTCTACTATAAAAAATTTGTCTAGATACAGAATCTTCTGATTCTTATTTATATGTTCTAGGTCGATGAATCTGTGTCTACTATAAAAA